TGAGTAAACACAGTTAGGACAACATATTTTAAAAGTAGCCGAAACGAAATTTACAACTAGTGAAATTTAAAACTTAATAACACGGAACTTTCAAAAGTTGTCCAGTGAGATATTTGTAACCGAATCTGACACCCCTATCGCTGACTCGCTAGTCACGTAGGTGGTCTCATTGTATTTCGTGTTTATTCGGACTAAATTTTAGAATAATGCAAGATATTTACTGGGAGAAAACTGCCTGCACACAGATCAAAAATGTATTGAGCAAGTGCACGGCATTAGAAAGTAATGTAAGACAAGGATACGGCTTCTCGCCGGACTTATTTCACCTATTCAGAGAGATGATGCTAAGAGAACTAGCGGATTTTTTTTTTATTGGAAGGCACAGTCTTGACAGCATGATACACAGGTAGATCTGTGCTGATAGGGGGTATAGAAAGAAAACTGCGGGACAGGGTAATAGAGGAAAGCAGGAAGAAAAGACTAGCTATCAATTTTAAGAAGCTAGTATGTATGTTTGTTAGCAAGTGGGACGTCACAAGATTCGAGCTTCAATCTGGCGATATCAGAATAAAACAAGTCGAGAAATTTAACGATCTGTGACAGCGAAGTCCGAAGTACCTGTTTTGTTTCCATTTTTCTTAAACTCTACTGTTTCTTCATGCTCCTTCCATAGTATTCTCAATATACTTCTGTATAAAATGTTAGTTTAATTCTGCTTTATATCTGATGAGATTGTCCAGCATTCAGTACCATATATGAAGTAGGATTACATAGCCTTTCAGCACTCTTTTCGCTTTTTAATAACCTTAAAGATAGCAGCAGTAGTAGCTCTAAAATAAAACTATCAGTAGCAAATTTAGCATTAAAACCCTGAAGTAACTCTCTTTTCTTCCTGATTCGCTCTTTTCGAACTGTCATGGGAACTATCCACGCTGAAGCTATAAGGGCTGCGAACACCTTCAAACTAAAACACACCAACAAAGGAAGTTCCCACTGTAACCATTAATGAACATTTTATTGTGTATGACATTTGTTTCTAGCAAAAGAAACTCTTGTTTTAAACTTTCCTTTTCTTAATTTTGTTTTAGTAAATGTTGTGGATTCCGGGATGAAATCCGGTATCAATAAATAACAAACGCCAAAAATGAAATATAAGAAAATAATAACGTAATAATACAAATTGGTAAAGCAGGTTAGTAGTTCCAGGAATACGGGTTAGTAGCAAAATATATATACAGTCTTTGGTATTGAACTATCGCTGTATGACTTCTTACTGAGTCTACGTGCTCGCTCACAACGCTGTTACCTCACCCTCACTCTTCCGGTTAGCTACAACCTTTTACTCTGTCACTCTGGACTGAACTCGACTCAACTCTTCGGTCTAGCTCGTCTCGGGTCTTCATGTAGCCGTTGTATATGAATATACTGGGTGAGTCCATTTGTATAAAAAGGGGTGGACCCCTCAAAAGTAAATGTTTTGCATTGCAAATCATTTGCTCAGTTATTTTGTGCATTTATTTTTTTTCACCATCTTTATTTCATGTACCTAAAAATGTTCCCGAAGAACATTACACACTTAATTATTGAAGTTGCTAATCACAAAATACGTTTCTTATGCAACTATTAATTACCAATGATCGAAAATAAAGATCCTCGTGTATTCATTCTCCTTGGATGTTCTTCATAATGGGATAGCACTTCATGAAATAAGCTGAGAAAACTAACCGATACCATTAAATAAAATACTTTTTACGTGCAGTGCCTTAAACATAGTAGCACTAGTAGCTTAAATAAACCTTGTATCAGCAGCAGCTCTCGAATATAAAAACGCATGAAACCAAAAGTAACACTCTCTCTTCTTCGTCTTTTCCTCTTTCGATTTGGTGTCATGAACTTTCTACGATGAAGCTAAAAGGGCTGCGAACGCTTCACCCATAAAACACACGAGCAAAATAAGTTTCTACTATAGCATATTAATAACCATTTCGTTGTGTATACAATTTACGTTTGACAAAAAACAAAACAAAAACTTTTGTTTTAAACTTTCCTTTTGTTAATTTTGTTTTAATAAATGTTATTTTACATTGCAAATCAATCGGATTTAGTTTATAGTCATACCCAGGACCAGCTGTCGGATGTAGTTTATCGTCTAGGCTGTAAACTTGTCAGCTATCACCCTTGCTTTTTCTTGCCGTTTTTAACTTGTGTGAATTTTGCCGTTTGAAAGAAAAGAATTCAGCAGTACATGCTACATTCTTTCTTTTCTCCGACCAGGTGGGTTTGCTTATAATAATATACCCTCTTGTGTTTATTATTGACGTGGTGAATTCCCAGTGGCAAGCTAAACGAATTAAAGGCTATCGATACAAGTGTTGACAGAATAATAGTCAGTTATTTTGTGCACGTATTCTTTTCGCCATCTTAAAATCTCCCCGTAAGAAACCTTACACATTTAATTATTGAATCACTAAACTTTTTTGTTTTTAAATTGGCATCCGGTCCCCGTATGAGAGACCGTTACAACAATTTCGTCGTTTGCGTCAAAGGCAAAGACCGCGTGCCGGGTGGATGAGTTCTACTAGTAAGGCATAAAGCAGTTTTAAGAAAATGCAACGTCTCGGAATGGGCATTTCACTAATTTCCTTTTTAAACTTCGTTTAAACAACGTTCTGTAGTCGTGTCAACTACCCAACCGTTGAGTCGTTTTTCTTGTTTAATGATGACAGTCAACGACTTTACACTTCCGCAAAAAAAAAAAAAAATGAAACGAAAAAAATAGATGTTCTTTCTACGTAACAGTATTTGAATCTATTCGAAAAGAATAAGCGGATCTTGTTAACACTTGCTGTAGACAAGGATTGACTACAATAAAAATAAGTTAGCTTACGGCCATATCCCGTTGAAACCCCGGTTCACTGAAATAAGCAAGGACGAACCTAGTCAGTACCATCTAGGTACTTACTGGGCTCTTGGGGATACATGGTTTTTGTAAGATTGAGGATGGTGTAACTGATAATGGCTCGGAGTTGGAAATCGGAAAGTTGAGTTTCAATTCAAGTCGGGTTCATTCTGTTCACTTACGCGCAAATTCCATTGGAGAAAAAAAGAAATCCACTACTTCTCCCTTCCTGCTATGGGTTAAATAGTAGGACTTGTATCGGCAAATTATTATAATCTCCAAAATAATTTCTTACAAGCTAAAAAGATTTTCTGGCTTTAAATAACCCACAAAAGGTTGGTAAGCCATAAAAATGAGTCAATACAATAAAAAAACTTGATTTTTTTAAAAGTTTTTTCTTTCATATCATTGCTACTTTTTGCCACAGCGATCGATAAAGAAAGTTTAAAATAAATCTTCCTTAATTATTTACACTATTTACATCGTTCGGACTGTTGTTCTCATCTTTGTTGCCATATTCAGGACGTTTCGGCCGTTGTACGTTCCGGCCTGCTTCAGGATTTGTCTATATTTCTCAAATGAGGTATTGTAACTATTTACACAATTTACATCGTTCGGACTGTTGTCATCATCTTTACTGCCATATTGACGACGTTTCTACCGTTGTAAGTGCTGGCCTTCTTCAGAAGCTGTCTATATTTCTGAGATGAGGTATTATAACTATTTACACTATTTGCATGTTTCAGATTGTTGTCCTCATTTTTATTGCCATATTAATGATGTTTCTGCCGTTGTATGCTCCAGCCTTCTTCAGGATCAGTCGATATATCTGACATGTGTTATTGTAACTATTTACACTATTTACATTGTTCAGACTGTTGTCCTCATCTTTATTGCCCTATTCACGACGTTGCCCCGTCGTGCGCTCCGGGCTTCTTCAGTTCATTGGAATTTGGAACTGAACACTTTATTTTTCCACCGAGGTAGACTGTTCTATTTCCACGTGCCATACCTCTTCCGGATATCTCGGTATCTCAGTTATCTCCCTTTTAACTCAATTCTCCAAGTTTTGTTCAACTCTGCTGTAGCGAGGTATTGAACTCACAACTCTTTGGGTCTAGTCACTAGATTTAACCAAAGCTTTTATCCACTAATTCATCCGTCCTTGTTTTCTGCAGCATGTTGTCGATTATGACTCTTCACAGCTTTCTATTTTTAATATTTTCTTTTTAACTCCTTTTTTTTATTATTATTCTCTTTCCTTTTTCTGTCATATTTTCTAACACTCAGTAACCCCTTACGTCTTAGTGGCTTTATTGCCTTTGCTTGGGGGTTAAACTATAAAAAAAAACAAAAAAAACAAAAACAAAACATATCTGTGAATTGCTACGAAATTTAGGAAAAATAATGGAGTAGCTTCTCTTTTAAAATTACCATTAACCTCTTATAAATGATTTTTTTTATGCTCGGACTAAAAATTTCTTATTCCCACTTTTTTTTTTCAATTGTCCCCTGTTTGTACAAGATATTTTCTTAGTTCTTTTATACAAAGTACACCAGTGGCTTTTTAGGTGCTTGATAAATACCATTAATAATTTAAATATCTTTGTTTCGACCTTTCAAGTAACTTTATATACCATTTAAAATAGGGGAAAGCGATATCTTTCAGGTTGTATTCTTGAAGAATGAATTTCTTGTCTCTCGTTTTTCAGTAGGTCACATACTACGCTGTTTAGCTTTGGTAACTAATTGTTTTAGTAGTTTTATTAATATAGCAATACCCGTGAACATTTCACGGTTTTAAATGAATAAATACTGATTAATTTAATGATTAATTTGATGATTTACTAAGTTAATGATTTTTAAGTTAATGATTTAATAAAATATTAAAATAATGTTAAAAACACTTCACGGTTTTTGGATCTGCATTTTTTGATGAATTATAATTCTTAGTTGAATGAATGGCTTGTAATATGGCGAAAAATTCTCATGAATAATTCTCCAATTGCAAACATATTTGAACTTAAGAATTTTAACCTAAGATTGCAATAACTATCAGGCAGATCCCTATTTAAATAATTAAGAGAGTACAAATGAAAATATGAAAACTGATAAGGTTTCTCATTTCACTGAAGCAGACGATAAACATATCTTTCTTTCTTTTCTTGTTTCTCTCTTTCTTTCTTTCTTTCTTTCTTACTTTATTTCCTTTTTCTCTTTCTTTCTTTCTTTCTTTCTTACTTTATTTCCTTTTTCTCTTTCTTTCTTTCTTTCTTTCTTTCTTTTTCTCTTTACGCACTCGTTTTCCTTGCCTTTCTTTCTTTCTTTCTTTCTTTCTTTCTTTCTTTCTTTCTTTCTTTCTTTCTTTCTTTCTTTCTACGCACTCTTGTTTCCTTGTCTATTTTTTATTTGTTTGTTTGTTTGTTTGTTTGTTTGTTTGTTTGTTTCTTTCTTTCTTTCTTTCTTTCTTTCTACGCACTCTTGTTTCCTTGTCTATTTTTTATTTGTTTGTTTGTTTGTTTGTTTGTTTCTTTCTTTCTTTCTTTCTTTGTTCGTTTCTTTCTCAGTTTCTTTCTAATTACGATGATGTATGCTTTCTTTTTCTCACAAAAACTAAACAACGTCTCCGATATATATTTTTCTTCAAGGCAATCATAACGGAATGGTTCATTGTTTATCTTACGCAAGAGCTGGGCGTAATTCATATTAATCCCTAACTACAAAAAAAAAAAAAAAAAAGAAAAAAAATGTAATAAATTAATTTAATTAATTTAAAATTCATTGTTTGGTCTTTTAATGTCGTTTTACATTCAATTAAAAAAAAAAAAAAAAAAACTTTCGGACTACGAAAACTTGAGATCGAATTTTCCAAACTGAATTTTTTTCTGGATTTTCCAAAATGTTGAATATATACATCTACCCTGCCAATCAGCACACCTGTGTTTGCAGTTAAGTAATCCCATCCGCAAAATACAAACGTAGTGTACTTTAGCGGAATGATAGGCGTAAAATAAAAATAAAAAAGACAGTTTAAAAAAAAAAAAAGTATTATAGACGACGATTGATGCAGCTGTGTACATAAAACATTTTAGTGAAAGTCCACCTCTGTCCTAATTACGTAACTACAGCTTTTTCGTTTCTCGTTTGTTAGTGTTCGTTTGTGCGTATCTGCCGAGATGATCACCATCTTATTATGATCTTAGTTAGCAGTACTAAATTTAAAAACAAATGTTTTCTTTTCTTTTAAATGATGTTAACCCTTTACAAAACTTCTACGTCTTTTAGGCAGAGGAAGGCGGAGAAGGGAACACAGTTTATGTGAATATGTCGGGGAAGATAACGGTTAACTCTAGTCATGAACGAAGATTGTAGTGATCAGGGAAGCATCCCCCTGGAAGATGGTTTCTCAAAGCAGCGGCCTGTAGGAATCGAACCTGTATCCTATATATATATTTTTTATAGTGTTGCATTGATTGTTATGTTGCTATAAAGATGTATTGTTTCTCATTTTATTATAAAAATATACTATTGATTCTTCTTTGGGTGGTTGTGGGGGGGGGTCACTATTTACCCATATTTGGGACCCTAACACGTGCAACCGCCCCGGGTTAGGTTGGACCTGGGAACAACAGCAATTGAGGTGGTTAAAAGCTCCTCAAAGCCCCCCTATCAAAGGCCTTGCTGCCGGATGCAGTTTATCTTCATACTCAGGACGAAGATATGTATAAATCGGTAGCCATAGCGAGTGATAGAGAGAGAGAGAGGGAGAGAGAGAAGAGAGAGAGAAGAGAGGAAGAGAGACAAAGAGAGAGAGAAGAGAGGAAGAGAGAGAGAAAGAGAGAGAGAGAAGAGAGGAAGAAAGAGAGAGGGAGAGAGAGGGGAGAGAAAGAGAGAGAGAAAGAGAGAGAGAGAAGAGAGAAAGAGAGAGAAAGAGAGAGAGAAGAGAGGAAGAAAGAGAGAGAGGGAGGGAGAGAGAGGGAGAGAAAGAGAGAGAGAAGAGAGGAAGAGAGAGAAAGAGAGAGAGAGAAGAGAAAAGAGAACAGAGGAGAGAGAGAAAGAGAGAGAAGAGAGGAAGAAAGAGAGGGAGAGAGAAAGAGAGAGAGAAGAGAGGAAGAAATAGAGGGAGAGGGAGAGAGGGGGAGAGAAAGAGAGAGAGGAAGAGAGAGAGAGAAGAGAGGAAGAAAGAGAGGGAGAGGGAGAGAGGGGGAGAGAAAGAGAGAGAGGAAGAGAGAGAGAGAAGAGAGGAAGAGAAAGAGAGAGAGAAGAGAGGAAGAGAGAAATATAGAGAAAAAGTGAGGGAGTGAAAAGGCATAAATATAAGGGTGACGAAAACAGATACAAGCATGTGCCATCGGACCATTCTTAAAGTTAAACAATTTTCCGAAGATTACTTGTTAACAACTGAGAATTGTCATCAACACTGCACCTCTCCCGGGGGTTGGTAGAAGCGGGTCAGGCGAGTCTCCCCAGCCTGGATGACGTCTGATTTAATTAGAGACTATCGAAAAAAACATCCATCTGGTATGTCGCTCTACTTTATACTTCATCTTTCATTCATTCAAAATCCCTTCTTTATTCCTATAGTCTTTCACAGAATCTTTGCCAACATTCTTCGTTCCCAGAGTATCATTTTCAGAAAATGCGTACGTTTATTTTCATTAACAAAGCAGGTAGAAATATTTGGCACGAGTTTAAACTTCGACTTTGTCATGCCAAATAGTGACAGGTGTTGAAACTGACGAACGCCAATGTATTCGCTTGAGAGCAGTAAATATACATCATTCGAGCCTAAGACGCCTGTCATAGATCACTTGGAAACGAATAATAATAATAACAACAACAACAATTCTTCTTCTTCTTCTTCTTCTTCTTCTTGACGGACAAGACGCAAATAAGGCCGAATTTATATCGTTGATAACTTCTAAATGGTGCATTTCCGCAAACTTTTATTGTAATTTTCGAAATAAGTATGCAAATTTACACTGAAATGAAAAATTTCATTATAATTTGTTTCCGGGGCTTAATCTGCAAATTTATCACTCTTTCTCCTTAAGAATTTTTTTCAGGAAAATAACCTTCTAAAGCAGGGGTCGGCAACTCATTCGACCCCGCGGGCCGGATCGTGTTATAATGACTGGTCGCGGGCCGGACGAAGGTGGATCAGAGGAAGATAACAGCAGGCCTTTTGTCGAATTCGAAAGCCTCGTCTCTCATGTTAAAAATAGAGTCATTGGTAATCAGGCTCGCGGGCCGGTCAAAATACCTTTTTCTAAAGTCCACTAACTGTTGTCGCTCTTTCAAGTACCCTGCCTAACCTTTTCATTAATTTAGTCCGGAAAGACAACATCTTGGTTATATTACTGTTTTCAATTCTAGTTCATGTGCTATCGATTTTAGTTGTTGCTGCTTTTGGATGTTCTCAAATAATGTAGGATTTTCTTTAAAAATTGGTAATGTCCTTTGTGACTGTGTAGCGCCAGTCTCCAAGGTCTGATGAAGTACTGTTTTCTTTAGACCTTTTTGATCATTGTTCTGTGAAAATTGTGGTTTATAATAGTTTAGAAATTTCGGAACAATTTTGGATGTCATGTATGATATCTATATGAGAGCCTTGATCTGATAAGGTTATTTAAGAACATGACTTCAGTTTTCAAGTCATTATTTTGTAGTTTCTTGTGGTATTGGAAAAATCTGAGTTTGGCACGTTTCGGCGTTGCCCATTTGGCATGGCTGATTCGGCGTCAGAAAAATAATTGGACTGTTCGGCACAGACGTGTAGTCGGTAGATTGTTTCGACGTCACTGTCTTTGACTGGTGGAATCGCCCTCCCCCTAAAAAATAGGATGAAAGCATTAAAAAGACCCAACTTTCAATATAACTTTTTATTCATTTAGGGAATTAAGGATCCTATTAAAACATTAATGAAATGATGTAAATTTAAAATATTGTATCCCTCGTGTGTCACTTCCAAGTTTTGATAAAATATTTGCTTCCATTTTGGAATAAAAGGCCATTAACGACTGAAAAATATGAAACTGCACTGAAGGAAATATAATATAACAAATACCTTCAATTAATCTTTTTCTTAAATTTAAAAATGCCTCCAACTACACTTTTTCTTAAATTGGACTATTCTTTCTCTCTCAATTTGACGATTTTGATCCTAGCTAGAGGCAACTGGATGTCTAGCCGCACTGATGAGCTGTGAAACAGCGAAACAGTCTGTCTGTGGATGACGTTATATTGGCTCCTGAAAAATTAATTTTCAGTTGAGCTCTCTGGGGAGGCGGTGTGGGTCGGTAAACAGTGACTATTTATAGCTATATAGCGAGACTCTTCGCAAAATTGAGTCACTGTCGGTCACTGGGCGTGTTTCTATAAATAAATACGCTAAAAATCCACCTTCATCGGGTTTCGATCCTAGCTAGAGGCAATCGGATGTCTAGCCGCACTGATGAGCTGTGAAACAGCGAAACAGTCCGTCTGTGGATGACGTTATATATATATATATATATATATATATATATATATATATATATATATATACAACTATAACGACGAAGTAGTAATCTGACGTCTAATCGCCGAAAAATTCATATGTCGAATCGACCGCGCCGAATCAGCGACGCCAAATGGGCTATGCCGGAATGTCCCATTCCCGGCTAGATTTTTCTCGTTCCTGTTTCTCACTAGTGGATTAAAGCGTTAGTTCGTGAATTTGGTGACATAGTAATTGCGAGTTCAATCCCTGGGCCGGGCAGTGTGTACTTGAACTAAGTAGAAACACGGAGAACAATAACTGAACAGTACTAAATAAAAACAAGATACCCTTAGACATGGGCAGCGGAACGAGAACGTCTGCCCCTGTAGATTGAATAAAGTGTTTAGTTTGGAATTCCTTGTAGGTTACCAGGATTGATATACAGTGATTCCCCCCACCCACGAATTCGCGGGGGTTAGGGACCAGAACCAGCCGCGAATACTTGTACCACCCCAAAAGTGCTTATAAATACCTATTTTGATTGTTAAAACCCCTATATGCCTTAAACTTTTATCCTAAACTGTTTCGAAACATTTAAGACCTTTTTTAAAACATTTTTGAAAAATATTATTGGTGACCATACACTTAGCGTCAATTTTCTTTCATACGTACAATAACCGTTTTTAATTATGCTGAGATCGATAAAAGCATTCCCTATCTCAATTTGACGAGAGATAGAGAGATAGAGAGAAAGAGAGAGAGAGGGCAAATTTGACTCTAACGACGAAGTAGTAATCTGACGCCTAATCGTCCCTCCGCCGAAAAATTTCTATGTCGAATCGGCTACGCCGAATCAGCGACGACAAATGGTCTAAACTGGAACGTCCTATTCCCGGCAAAACTACCCCTAGTACTGTTTTTTGTGTTCAGTTTCGTTATTTCCTTTAAGCAACATTACTAAGATCGAGCCAGGCTACTAATAAAATAGTAATAGTTAAACTACTTAATCTTTTTTTAATCATTTCAACCTAAGTAATCTGTTTTAATAATTTTCACCCCTGTGCATGTTTATGTGTATGCACGCGTGTGAAAGACGAAAGGTAGAAAAAGGTAGAGAGAAAGGTAGAAGAATGAGTGATATGTACGTGTGTGTGTGTAAGAGATAGATAGATAGATAGATAGATAGATAGATAGATAGATAGATAGATAGAGAGAGAGAGAGAGAGAGAAGAAAGATGTAAGCAGACCGTTCGAACCTTAAAAGCCATTGAACACTTAGACTGTTAAAAGCCATCGGCACTTAGACTGTTGAAGGAATTAAGTTTTGATAACTTTGACTACAAAGGATAGAAAGTTGTGGAGAACCATGATCTCTCACGTCCTGAATGGAGACAGCACACAGAAGAAAGTTTAGCATAGCAAATAATTTTATGGATGAAAGTACGATATGTTTGTGTGTGTGACAAGGACAGAGTGAGATTTATTGAATAGCATTAGATGTTAATACAACTTAGAATCATTTTTTAATTATTTAAATATCGGCTGTAAGGTGTTAGTAAGATTGTGTAGCGCCTGTGTTCTGATAAAATAGTCAGATATGGTTGCTTCATCTGGCCTAAATAATGCAGAGCCTGTGCATGCTTATGTGTGTACACGCGTGTGAAAGAAGAAGTGAAAGGTAGAAGAATGAGCGATATGTGTGTGTATATATATATATATGTGTGTGTGTGTGTGTGTGTGTGTGTGTAAGAGAGAGAGAAAGATGTAAGCAGATCGTTTGAACATTAAAAGCCATTGAACATTTGTGTATTTTGACTGTTGAAGAAAATAAATTTTGATAGCTTTGACTACAAAGGATAGAAAGTTGTGGAGAACCATGATCTATCACGTCCTGAAGGGAGACAGCACACAGAAGAAGGTTTAACATAGTAATTAATTGTATCTTGCACAAAATATCTAAAAAAAAAAAAAAGATGGAGTCACATTAGTATTAAAGCATAACAAGGAAATGCCGTGTTTGTGAACATCTTGCGCATGTATAGATAAAAGTGCATTTATACGCTCTTTGAAAAAGCCATTTGCATGCTTACAAATATTTATGTAGGTAATAAAAAGAAGAAGTGAAAATATAAGATAGTCCATCTGCTTTCCACCTGCTGCGATTGACTCACGAATATTGCCCTGTGATTGAGCCCGGGGGGTGGGACGTAAGTGTCTTTTTATTCTTGAATCATTGTGGCTTATCTGATGTAAATAACCGAAGGCGGGAAAGAAGGAAAGAAAGAAAAGAAAGGAAGATAGGAAGGAAGAAGTTCGAAAGAACAAGAGGGATTAAGAAGAAGAAAAAAGAGAGAGAGAGAGAGGGGGAGATGGTGAGAGAAAAGAAAGAAAGGAAAACGAACACGGGAAGAGAGAAAAAGAGATATTGAAAAATGTGGTGGTGGGAGGAGAAATTAGAAGGAGATAAAAGAAGTGAGAGAGAGAGAGAACGAGGAACTGAAAGAATAGAGATAGAAAAATGAAAGAAAAAGAAGTTGGGGAGAGAGAGAGAGAAAGAAAGAAAGAAAGAAAGAAAGAAAGAAAGAAAGAAAGAAAGAAAGAAAGTGTATGTGTGTTTAAGAGTATGAGAAAGTGATAATGAACAAGAAAGCGGAAAAGAGGAAGTGACTGGAGAATTAGAAAAATATACATAGATAAAGTGTGAAAGAGAGTGCGTGTGTGTGTGTGTGTGTGTGTGTGTGTGTGTGTGTGTGTGTGTGTGTGTGTGTGTGAGAGAGAGAGAGAATTAAAAGGGACAGTGGAAAGCTGTTAGTATTCTGTCTAAACGACCTTATGCAAATGAATGGCAGAACAATAACGCTGACTAGGAAGAGAGGGCGACAAGATAGATGTCACTTAGAGCTACAAAGGATAGGAAGCTGTGGAGAGCCATGATAATTTTATTAAAAAAAGAGAGAGACAGAGAAGTAGAAACGACGAATGAGGAGAGGAGAAAAAAATGAAGTGAAACATGATAAAAAGAGCTATCAAACATAAAAGACAGAGAGAAAATGGGTTACGAAACACGAAGAAGAAAAGGATAAAATGCAAGAGAACGAAATTCGAGGGAGAGAAAGACAGAAAGAGGGGGAAGGAAAGACGGAAGGAAGGAAAGAGAAATACTATGGGAAACCAGCAAATAGAAAGAGCGTAAAAGCGAATCATTCATACAAAATTTTTTTATCATTAATTTTACTAATCTACTTTTTGTATGAATGATTCATTTTAATATAAATTGAACTGCACCACATATTTGATTTAAAAAAAAAAAACTGATCCGACGTGCAAATTTTCGGGATAACAACTGAGACATTACACTATTTATTGAACAATTTAGTTCATGCCACATTGACTGATAAACTCCTACAACAAAAAATTCTCAAATTAATAAAAAATGCACTCTCTTAAATTTAAAAAAAAATCAACTTTAGCGTTGCAACTGCATGCTCCAAAAGTTTGTATCCGTTATTTAAAAAAAAAAAAAAAAAACATATTTCGATTCGCATTATATTTTTTCGTCTCGGATACTACCTGAATTTTACCAAAAACAAAATAATTCCTATGCCTGAAGATGACTGAATGTACTGTTGAAAGTAATTGTATATTAAAGAAAGATCTTATACAGCTTATAATTTTTAAAAACAAGGATCATAACATTCATCAAGTGATTTGTAGGTACCTTTAAAATTATGTTAGCAAAGGGATTTCGCCATTTTATAACATTAACTTTACTAATCTACTTTTTGTATGAATGATTCATTGTATATATATATATATATATATATATATATATATATATATATATATATATATATTAGCTTAAAAGCCTCCCTATCGGGCGACATTTGAACTAGCTCCTGAGGAGAGCTCTTGATTGGGCCTTTGACTTGTTCAGGAGTTTGAGAGTTCCTAAGTCTTTGTATATTCTCAGAATTAGGTTTTCCATTTTCACGAGACATTTATCTTCCTTGCTGCAGCCTTGGTTCTTTTGATTGCCATCAGGTCCTGTGTTGGCGGAGATTTCTCTTTGCGAGGCATACTGCTGTCGTGACAATAAACAAAACAAAAAAAAATTGATCGCTGCAATTAGAGAGAGAGAGAGAGAGAGAGAGAGAGAGAGAGAGAGAGAGGTATGTGCGTGTAATATTCTTCTTCCTATATAGGAGCATTCATATACGGGACACGCCCTGGCTCACACACATGTGGAATACCGTGGTATAAAGGAATTATATATATATATATATAGATAGATAGATATACTAGTTTAAAATCCGCATTTAAGATAGCTGCTTCAGAGGGCTCTTGATTGGGCCTTCATCACAATATGTAGGGAGGAGTAGATATGATAGGCAACAATAAAGTACAGAAGAACTCAAAATCGATCGCTGCATTTAAGTATTGCATTACTATTTAAGTTTACCTTTTAAAAGTTCAACGATAATTCTTCTGCTGCCACTACTTAATTTTAAATACAAATTGAAGTGCGAATGTTATGGGCGACTTTCACTGGATTTCGAAATTAATCTCGATTATTCCAAAATTTTTTTCCAAGTTTTATAAATTGTAATCGTACAAAAAAAAAAAAAAAAATTGACGCAGAAAATCACGTAAAAATATCGACGAATTGAAAACGTGAAAATCCAAAATTTCTGTAACATGAGCTATTGAAAGTTAGAGAGTTGTGTCACTTTAATTGAAAATGTGTGACGCAGTGACATTGGCATTTATTATATATATATATATATGTGCGTGTCTGTGCGTTTGTGCGTGTATATATATATATATATATATATATATATATATGAATTTCACCCAAGCAAGGCAGTAAAGTCACTAAGAAACAAGGGGTTACTGTGTGTGTAAGAATTGGAAAACAGAAACCTTACTAAAGGGTAAGAAAAAGAACAGTGTGGACATATGTATTAACGATTATGGCGACTCTCATAACCACAATTAAATGCGAGGGATTCACCTTAAAAAAGTGGAAAAGAAATCACCATGCCGTGTGGATTCCTATGTTCACAATGTCTATTGCTATAAATGCTCTATCTGTGATATGGATCACTTTGTTCTCTCTCTCTCTCTCTCTCTCTCTCTATATATATATATATATATATATATATATATATATATATATATATTTATAATATAGTTTTAAGGTATGATATATATATGGGTTAAAGTGGTCAATATGATGGATAGAGCCTATGTAAATATAAAAGTGGACATTGAAGTCAACAACGCACCGGGCATGACGATTGCATTTTGCATGAAACATACTGTCACTTTTACGTGTTTATTTCAATATCCACACACAAACACACATACACACAAACACACACACACACACACACACACACACACACACACACACACACACACATATATATATATATATATATATGGAAAAAGAGAGACAAAGGTAGAGAGACAGACAGAGACACAGAAAGAAACAAATATTCAAGCATATGTAACACATTTTCGGCAGAACCCCTCACACAAAGATAATATATATATATATATATATATATATATATATATATATATATATATATACCTGAGTATATAATTGGTATATACGGAATGAATTCCAATAACCAACAATTACTATTCTTAAAAGATTGCTCAATACAAAGTAGAGCAGATATAATTATTATTTATAAAAAAATTATAACATAAGTATGTTATAAAATCACTACAAAATGGCTATATATATGTATGCTTCATTAAATATAATAGACAAGGTGCTTTGATCAATATTTAATGAAACTTTATCAAAGCTCCTTGTCTCTCATATTTAATGAAGCTTGCATGAAAGAAGGCTTGCTGCCTAAATACACAATGCGCACACACACACGCGCGCGCACAAATACATATATATATATATATCATACTTTTATTATAAGAGATTATAATAACATTTTTGAAATCGCTACACAAAAGATTTCATGTTTCAATACTTTGTACTTCTTCAGGCGATGGTAAGTAACTGCCTAATCAGGTACAATCAAAGTATTGAAACATGAAAGCTTTTGTGTAGTGATTTCAACATGTTTTTATTATAATCTCGTATAATAAAAAATAATAATAATGTACTGCTCTACTTTGTATTGAGCACTTTTTTAAAAAAGTAAAAAGTAAACGCTACGAATAGTGGATTTTTACTTCTCTGTTTATTCTCTCATTTGTATATATATATATATATATATATATAAGTAACGAAAATCTTGATAATCCATATGGATATTCCCAAAGGGCATGAAATCCTGAGATCTCAATGTTAATTCAGAGCGAATAATTTAAGGCTCCATTTGTAATAATTTATTTCACCAGAGAATTTTATTTTTCTCAGGACCTTCAGAATTCACTTTCAAAAGGTGAAACGAAAAATGAATTAAAAATTTCACACTTTTGACGGGTAGTATTAAGCATATATAAGTTGACATAGAGGGTGGTGAGGGATGGTGTGAGAGACATGGTCAAGTTTCTTCCATTAAAACCTTCTCCAGCTTTTTACGACACGACGGTGGAGGATAGCGGCTCCTAACTTGTTGCTCTAAAGTGCACCACAAATGTTCAATAATATATCAATATATCTTGAGATTGGGGAGGCCACTCCATGTGTTCTAGCTCACTTTCATGCTCTTCATACCAATTCTTAACCATTTGAGTGGTATATATTGGAACATTATCGTCTTGGAAGATGCAGTCACCATCAGGGAATAAAGTCTTGGCCATTGGATGAACATGATCTCCCAAAATGTTCAGGTAATCTTTGCTGTTGATTCTACCATGCAGGGCAACTATTGGACTGAGACATTTCCATGATATGGCGGCCCAAACTATCACTGATCCACCTCCATGCTTCACTGTTGGAAGAAGGCAGTCAGAGTTGTAAGCTTCTTTGGGCTGCCTTCACACATAAACTCGCCCTGAAGTTGGGAAAAGAGAAAAACTGGACTTGTTTGAGAATATGACTTGCTTCCATTGGTCTGCAGACCAGGCATTGTGATCTCTGCACCACTTCAACCTCTTTTGAATGTTGCGAGTGGAGAGAAGAGGTTTCCTCACAGCGGCTCTTCCATGATATCCAGCCTTATGGAACTCACGGTGAACAGTTTTAGTAGAAAATGAACTATTCAGATGATTATTCAACTCAGCAGTCATTTTGGCCGCATTTGTCCGATGATTTTTTGCCACATTGCGTTTCAATGCACCTCAGTCCCTGTCAGTAAGTTTGCAAGTCCGGCCCGAATTGCTGTGGTTGCTAGAGGTCTTGCCCTGTTTCGCGAATTGCATCAGTGTTCTTGATATGGTAGCCCTTGAAAAACCAAACAGTTCAGCAACCTTAGTGATTGAGGCTCCTGCCATGCGAGCTCCAACCATTTGCTCTTTTTCAAACTCGGAGAGGTCACGCATTTAGCTTAAATTTGGCTAAATTCTAAAAATAAATAAGACAAAGACAGTAAATACAATAAATAAACGTATTTGCAATAGATATAACCTGCAATTACAAAATTTTAGTTAAAGTTCTTAATATAATAAGTCTTTGAAATATAGGAATGGATTTTGCAACTGTTCCAGTTATTTTGTCCAACCCTATATATATATATATATATATATATATATATATATATATATACAAGTATATAATTGGTATATACGGAATGAATTCCAATAACCAACAATTACTATTCTTAAAAGAGTGCTCAATACAAAGTAGAGCAGATATAATTATTTTTATAAAAAATTATAACATAAGTATGTTATAAAATCACTACAAAAATAGCCATTTTGTTTCAACACACTTGTGTCTTATCAAGTGATGATGTTGAAAATAAAAAAATTATTTTTTATTTTCAACATCATCACTTGATAAAAATAATTATATATATATATATATATATATATATATATATATATATATATATATATGTGTGTGTGTGTGTGTGTAAATATATTTACACACAGACACAGACACACACACAGACGCGCCGAAACACACACACACACACACACACGCACACACACACACACACACACACACACACATATATATATATATATATATATATATATATATATATATATATATATATATCGAGAGACAGAGTGAAATAATATCCAAGCATATGTAATACATAGCTTTAATATCTAACTTAAAG